GGAGAGCTGCAGGCAGGGGCTTTTGACAGGGGTTTCAGCAGATGTAAGCCGCCATGACATTGCATGGCAGGAAAATGCAGGGGCATCTTTGCCGATACCTTCGCCCATGCATGAACTTCTGGTCTTAGTCGCAGCATTTTTGATCATGGCACCATGGCAAGAGTATGCTGCACTAACAGGTTCAAAACTGCGCCGTGCTTCAAAAGCATGGCTGCATCCTCGACCGCGGCTCCATGCCATTCCACGGAGTGGATGGCTTCAATGAGGCATCTTGGCAAGTGCCGGCCTCAGGTCTGTCTCTTGTAAATTGGTGGGTCTACTGGGGTGCGTCGAGGTGGATGAGCAGCAGCATGGCTACCACCTCGTTATGTGGGGTAGTCCACACATCAACGCCCGTTTTGGAGGCTCCCGGCGCAGCACCTCCCGGGAATCCGGGCAATGCAGAAAATCGGCCGAGAAGGGCCGTTTCGCCGCCTGACGCTGCTTTTGGAGGCTGCCGGCGCAGCACGTCTTGGGAATCCGGGAAATGCAGAAAATCGGCCGTGAAGGGCTTGAGGAGCAGACCGTAGCCATGAGGAAGGCTGAGTTATTAGGGGTTCAGGTGTTCCCCTAAACCCTAAACCCTAAACCCTGAACCCTCAACCCTAAACCCGGGCTTAGGGGTTTAGAGGTTCGGGTTTGGAGTTTTCCGGAAAGGTGGAGAGATTCGGGGTTTAGTCTAGGACATTTTCAGGTGGGTAGTTACCGTTATAGGAGCCTTATAGAAGGTCTGTGTACCTTATGGAAGCTTTATGAAAGCCCTTCATACCCTAAACTCCCCCACCCGTAGTTTCTTTTAATTTAGGGATTTACAGGTTCGCGTTTGGAGTTTTCCGGGGGGGGGGCGGGGGGCCTTCGGGCTTAGAGGTCTAGGGTGCAGGGTTTTTGTTGGGCTTAGGCTTCGGATTTAGGGTTTCGCACCACACAACTGTGAGCTCCGAACCCTCCACCCCAAATCTCAAGGTCAAGTCCTCACTCAACTCCCTGTACTTAGACAGGTCAGTGACAATGACAGCCATCGGTTTAGGGGTTCAGGGGTTTAGGGTTTAGGGTTTAGGGTTCGTTTCACATCCTCACTTGTAAGCAAGCTCGCAGAGTTCGAGGTACGAGCTGGACTTCGCGCGGCTTAAAGAGCTAAAGTGCAGCTCTCGGACTCGGGCTGGCTTATGTCCAGGCTACACTTTCGAAGTGCTATTGCCGCTGAGGGTTAGCCCTAAACCCTAAACCCTAAACCCCTAAACCCCTAAACCCCCAAACCCTAAACCCTAAGCTGCAGGGTTGGCCTTGTCTTGTCCAGGTGAGGCCTCGTAGGTTTCGGAGGTGGGTTTTGCTTCCACGGGGCTGAACTCCACGGCTCTACAGGCTTATCAGGGCTTGGGGTCTAAACAAACCCTAAACCTAAACCTCAAACCCTAAACCCGAAACCCTGAACGCTCAACCCCAAACCCTAAACCCGAAACCTTAAACCCTAAGCCCCAAAACTGTAAGATGCTGTGCTCTCGGTCGGATATGTTGGGCAATCATGAGAGGGGGGCACAGAGCCAAAGTTATCCGGTAATTTTCAGGGTGTGGCCCGGAGGCTCATAACCTAAGTATAACGTTTAGGGTTCAGGGTTTAGGGTTTCAAGGGTTCAGTTTCTAGGGTTTACCTGTCGCCGACTATTTTTTATGATGATTAGTAATAATAACAATAATAATAATAACAATAATGACAATAATAACAATAATAATGTTATTATTGCTACTATTAGATATATATATATATAGGTCATTACACATGTGGATCTTTTGGGCCACAGGTGGGGCTTTTGGGTTTCATAACGGCTCTTTGGGGCTCTCATAAGATGGTGTTATAGGGTTTAGGGTTTAGGGTTTAGGAGGTTTTTTAAGGCTAGGGTTGGGATTAAGGGTTAAGGTGCTTTACGGATCGGGCATAGGGTTTGGTGTAGAGGGAACAGGTTTCGAAGGTTTGCTTTGCACCTTTCCAATTTCCAATGCCAGCCCCCTAAACTGTTGGACTCTGTACTGCTCCGACAGTTTTGCTCGGAACATGGACGGTTCAGAATTCTAGACATGACATTCCTGAGTCTGAACGTCTGAACGTTTGAACTTGTTATATTCAAGGACTGCTCCTTGGGTTGTCTTGGACCATACATAAATCTAAGTCCTCGAAGGTTGATTTCAGAGTCCGACTTGTGTTGTCAAGGTCAACTGCGCCCCTGATTCGCTATTACTTGGAGGTTCATGGGCAGTTATAAGTGGGGTTATAAGTAGGGTAACTATAATTATAACCCATATTAGGGGACTTATAACCCTACTTATAATTACCCATGAACCTCCAAGTAGTGCTGCTTGGAACTCCATAGGCAGCCCCACCCTGTCGAATCCGACCTTTGTTCGCCTTTTTGCAGGCGCGAGAAGGGAGAGTTGCAGAATCTGGTCCAAGGCTTTAAACCCTACTGTAGGGGCCTTAATAATTAGAATAGGTATTACACTTCTAGTATAATAGACCCAAAACCCTATTCTAATTATTAAGGCCCCTATATTAAGCCCGAAAACCTAAACCCTAAGCCCAGACCTCCCGCCAAAGTACCCTTCACGGAAGCCTTGGCGTAAGGTTTGCTTTCGGCTGCAGACCCGCGCCAGTCGGGCGGCGCAGTGTAGTGGGTCCCACCCCAACCACCCGACGTATTTTTCTGGGCTCAGATCGTTTTAAAGGCTCTGTGGTACCAATTCGGGGCAGTGACTCGCAGAAGTCTCTGATCTCACGAGCGACTCGCGCGACGACAGCAATCCAGCTCGTCCTTCTCTATGCCAGCCTAGAGCCCAAGCAGCAAAGACCATTGACAAGAGGAAGACCAGACCAGAGTCCAATTCCACTCTCCAAGACCACGGCAAAACTCCAGAACGGCACATGCCGGCGACATGAGAGGAGACACATACAGCAAAGACCCCGAGTAGCTCTGCTGTAACTTATAAGTTGAGAGCACTTCGAGTATTTTTGCAGGCACCATGCCTAGAAGCCGCGGAACCTAAGAGACCACCGACGGGCTTCATAATGAAGCCCTGCCAGAACTTGAGCATTTCCAACGAGTGGCAGACCACCATTCCAAAAACCGTTCCCAACCACACACCACCAAGTCGGCTTTCGGTGCAGGCGGTGTATGAAGCACAGTGCCAGCCAGAATTCCTTGGCTGATGAGCAGCTGGATTCAGCTGGACCCCGAGCATGTTGTTGCTCCTAGGCCGGCGAAAGGCTGTCCAGCAATGTTGTGAACAGTCTGCTGGCTTCAATGTTCATCCGACTTCCACTTGGTGATCTCAGAAGCTGCGACGGGTTTGCCAACTGCATGTCAACGGCCAAGTTCTGGAACCGCCTTTGCCCAATTTTCCAATGGTTGGTTCACCTGCTTCCTTGAGTGATGGCTACATGTCTGCAGCGCACGACATCGGAACATGTGGTTTAGAGTATTTAGGCTTTCGGGCCTCAAGCCACAAATGTCTTCGATCAGTTAAATGAGATCGCCCGATCTACAAAGACAGCAATGACAGTAAGCAACAGCCGTAATACTTCTGCTATTCAACCAGACGATATATTAAACAGCAGCCAGTACTGAGTATATAAGGAAGAGTATGATAACAAGGGCAGTCTTGGCTCTCTAAACCCCCCCCCTAAACCCTACTAAACCCTAAACCCTAACCCTAAACCCCCTAAGCCCTAAACCCTAAACCCCAAACCCCAAAATCCTAAACCCTAAACCCCGCAAGCCCAGGCGAGAGATCAGCCATCTTGAGCATGCCGAGAAGAAGCTCGAGATGACGGCTCGTGTTGCAGCGTTTCGGAAAAGGGGGGGAGGCTTAGGGTTTAGGGTTCAGGGTTTAGGGTTTAGGGTTTCGAAAAAGGGTTTGGGGTTTAGGGTTTAGGGTTTAGGGTTTCGAAAAGGGCGGGGGTTAGGGTTTAGGGTTTAGGGTTTAGGGGTTAGGGGTTTAGGGTGGTTTGGGGTGCTGTACAGGTCCTACAAGGTTTTAGGGTTCGGGTTTAGGGTTTAATGTAGGGGCTTCTTATAACTACCAATACTATTCTGGGGGGTTCCATATGATAATCATATTATAATGGCTCTCAAATTCCTATTCAAATTATTAAGGCCCCTGTACTACGGGTCCTACAAGGCTTCTAGAATAAGCGGGGGGGCTTTATAGATAAGGTGTTCAAAGGCTCGTATAAGGGCCCAACTGCATTCTCGTGTAGGTGAATGCACGCATATTGCCATGGCCTGTGGTGTTTCGGATACTCTAAAGCCTAAACCCTAAACCCTATAACCCTAAACCCTAAACCCTAAACCCTAAACCCTAAACCCCAAACCCTAAACCCTAAACCCTAAACCCTAAACCCCAAACCCCAAACCCTAAAGTAACCAGTTCACCGTCCTTGATCAGGGTTCAGGGTTTAGGGTTTCTGCAGTTCGAGACTGGCGTCGAGTGTGGCTTTTGAAGGCCCTGCTTAGGGTCAACGTTCAGGGAGTCACGATCTTTGCTCTACTTGGAGGTTCATGGGTAGTTATAAGTGGGGTTATAGGGTAACTATTGTTATAACCCATGTTAGGGGACTTATAACCCTACTTATAACTAGCCATGAACCTCCAAGTAGGACTACTGTATCGAGAAATGCAAAAGAGCCACATGTCGCGCTTGAACTTCGGACTTCTCACCCTCACCCTGCCCTACACCCTCAGTAACCCTAAAAAACCCTAAACCCTAAACCCTAAACACCCTCAGGAACCCTAAAAAAAACCCAGCTGGCCAGGGCTCCTATCCTGCTTCTACCTCCAGCCCAGCCCATGTCAATGCCCCCTTGATCTCAATCCCCAAACCGCAGATCCCAGTAAATCCCCCAGCCCAATTCGCCCAAAGTCAGAGGTTGCCTAGGCCTAAACCATGCAAGCTTTGAGCCCCAAACGCAGGTGCAGGCCGAGTTTCGGAACTGGAAGCAAGCGGTCGCAGAGAGATATCCAGAGGAGCTCGCCTTAAGACTTTTGCTCTTTTGGTTTAGGGCATGTTCAGGGTTTAGGGTCCTAAACCCGGAAACCTAATCAGGGTTTGGGGGTTGTCGGGTTCGGGGCCGTGCTTCGTCGTAGGGTTGAGGGAGTCAGGCTTTAGCTTCGATTATAGGCTTAAGGGTTTAGGTGCCAGGACCAGGCAATACGGTTGATGATATAACTCCTGCATTACCCATAATAAGGAATATACCGTAACTCCCATAGTTTAGGGTCCTTAAGGTCCTGCAGGATTTATATCATCTACAGTATCATATACAGTCACAAGCATGTTCGGCCATATCGGAGCTTCTCGTGAGCATTTCTGCCCTCTCGCGGGTGGGACTGCAATTCTTCCAACTGACGAGCCTCTCCGAGCTTGCCGGCTGTTTGGTTTTATCCTGTCGTGTGACAGCTGCTACTTGGAGGATCATGGGACTTAGTAAGTAAGGTTAACGGTTACAAGTCCCCTAATTGAGGTTAAGTACAGTTACCTTAGTTATAACCCGACTTACTCAGTCCCATGATCCTTTAAACACTGTTGTTGTTATTGTTGCTTTTGGTTGTTTTCGGAAGCATCAATACTCGGTGCTCGCTGTTCATTGCCAATGTCCCTTTGATCACCACGTGATGCCCAGCTTTTGTTGACCTCAACTCTTGCGTGCATATCCTTCCTTTTCAGGGAGCCCTAAATCCCAAACCCTAAACCGAATCCCAAGCCCTAAAAACTCTAAACCCTGGCCCTAAACCTTAAACCCAAAGCCCGAAGCATATGCCCTGGGACTTTAACCCTACATCTCCTTTCAGGACATTTTTGCGAAGAAAGACGATGGATATGCACCCAGCGCAAAGGCAGGGTTTTGCTTCAAGGTTCATAGGGAATCATGTGCTACAGTGGTCCGTAAATCTGCTTTCCAAGAAGCTTTTCAGGGTAGTCATCCAAATTACCGCCAACACTAAACCTCAAACCCTAAACTGCCCTAAGCCCAAAAACTATACACCATAAATGATAGGGTTTAGGGTTTAGGGTTTAGGGTTTAGGGTTTAGGGTTGCCATAATGCCATAATATGCCGATGTATGTTCCCGCTGAGTGCCCAGAGCTGTTGATTGTAGGGCACGGTTACAGTCTAGATTACGCCAGAATTGATTCTTGATCCTGCATGCTACGTCACCTATTGTAGGGGCCTTACGTCGTAATGATCAGAATAGGGCTTGGGGGTATATTGTATTATAATTATAGCAAGGAACCTCCAAAATAGTATAGGTAGTTATTAAGGCCGCTATATTACTTTGAAGCCGCTAGCATCAAAACCCTTCAATATTCCATCAAAGCCCTGCAGAACTGCATCAACACCCTGGAGAACCCCTGCAAGACCCTATGCAGCTGTATAGCACCCCCCCATCCCCCCCGTTTGCACAACTTCCCCTGATCTGTGACCCTGAACCTAAGCCCCAAACCCAAAGCCCTAAGTTTAAACTCTCAACCCTTGGTACGTATGCGGCTTGAATGCACTTGATATAAGGGTTTAGGGTTTAGGGTTTTAGGGTTTGGGGTTTAGGGTTTAGGGTTTTGGGGTTTAGGGTTTAGGGTTTAGGCTGTTTCTCCCTTATCACATATTGGGTTTTGACAAGAGTCTCTGACACCATGGCACGAAGACCGGAGACGGGAGTGGGCCAAAGAGAACTGGAGACAGGATCGTGAGTGGGCCAAACCTGAATGGATACTCAGCCTCCTCCACTTCAGGTAACTGGAACTGTGCATCAACAGTTCGTGTTGCATCTGTTTCCATCCAAAACCCTAGACCCTAAACCCTACACCCTAAACCCTGACAGGGTTGTGTCGAGTTCGGGGTTCTTCGGGTAGTGCATTTGTTCGTCCATCAGCCCCAGCCTACATCCTACTTGGACCCCACCCAACGATCCTTCGTTGTAGGATGCTTGAGGGTCCTCCCCTAAACCCTCAACCTTAAACCCCAAAGCGAAGTACTACAGAATACGACGTACTAGTATCCCCTTCTCGCCTCTAGTAAGAAATACCCATGACTCGATTCCAAAAATTAAGTCCCCTAAACCCAGAACACCACCCCAAAAAAAAACAACAACCTTACAGAAGTCTTAAAAGAGCAGTTCAAAGGAACCGTTTTCTAGCCCCTAAGCCCTAAACCCCTAAATCCTAAGCTCTGAACCCTTAACCCTAAACCTTAAATCCTAAACTCTAAGCTCTAAGCTTTTAAGACCTCTATCGTACTTCTCCTCTTCCTGCGATGCTCTCTAGCCCGCCTCAGCGCCGCCCCTGTTGAGGTCGGTGGGTCTCCGGTCTGCCATAACGAGGCCGGGAAAACATGAGGCGCTTCTTTTGGGTTTAGAGTGGGTTGATAGTTAATATAGGGGCCTTAATAATTAGCATAGGTTTTGGGGTATATTATACCATAAGTATAATAAGGAACCCCCGAAACCTTACTCTAATTATTACGGCCCCTGCGTAAGGGCTTCAGGTTCATGTATGGTTTCGGTATGTTTGGGGTATAGCTTTCGAGGTTTAGGAAATTTCTTGGTACCAAAAACGAGGACCCTGCCCTGCAGCGCTAACTTGCTTTATCAGACTGCCACATGGGCCTGAACGGTTAGAGTTTAGAGTTTAGGGTTTAGGGTGTATAGTGATATTGTGCTCTAGGCTGCTAGTATATGTTAGTAGATACCGAAACCCTAAAGCCTAAATCCTTCAGCCCTAAATTTTAAGCACCAAAACCCAAAAGAATCCCGTTTAAACCCTAAACCCTAAACCGAAAATCCTTCAACCGTAAACCCTAAACCCTAAATCCTTAAACCCTATAAACCCTACACCCTAAATCCTTAAACCCTAAACCCTAAATCCTTAAACCCTAAACCCTAAAACCCTATACCCTAAAACCCTAAATCCCTAAACCCTAAATCCTTAAACC